TCACAGATTGATCACTAGCTTTATTTCTTTATTTTTAGTTTTTAATATAAAAATTTCAGTCCTTTTAAAATTTGTTCTTCCTTCCCATATCTGGAAAGAAACTAATATTAAACCATCCATCACATTCTTTGCTTTCTTTGTGCATTTTTAAATTTAGTTTTATGAGAACACAGTCTCTCATGATTGGGACGTGTCCTTCCTATGATTACTTCTAACATGTTTGACAACTCTGTTTTTGTTACCGTTAAAATGGTATGTGCCATTAGTCAGATAGCACATCACATAGCCTATATTTCTGCATGTTATGTTAGTTTTCCTTTATATTTCAGGTGATGATGTTTTTTTAAAGCAATTACTTTACTCTGTTAAAAAAAAAAAAGTACTACACAAGTATGTACAAAGTCTGTAGCATCCTCCTATTTTTGTTCATATCTGGGATATTTCATTTATGGAAACCTCCACTCATTTCAGTTGAGTTCTACCACAGAACTTCTGGCAAAAAGAAAAAAAATAAAAGAAACTAGACTTGGGCTGCATGTTCACACATGTATGTGGCTGTGTGTGCCACAACTGGCAAGCAGCTAATGCTTGTATATTAGTTTGTTCAGCTTACATGACAAAATGTTATGTGGTAATATGATCCAAATTTACTTCTTCAATATCAACATGGAATTGATGAGTTTTTCAGTTACACTAGGATTTAAAAAAATATCCGAACTCCTACAATGCATATTCTTTTTATGTGGTGCTCATCGCTAGACTCTCAGATTCTTCAATGTTCATGACACAAAGGTTCTTCTCTCCCTCAGAATTCATTTTAGCTAAAGCCATTAGATCTCGCAGTTGCAGTTTAATGTAGGGATTTTAGGTCATCTCAGACCTTACCCTTTTCGAAGAACAGTTTTAATCTTTGTATAGTACTTGAATATACTTCTTATAATTATGTTTCAAGTGTTATTGCAGCTATATTTCAGATTTTACGTATGTAGGAAAATGCTATATTATTTTAATACTGACAGTAGAGTAAAAATCTATTCAATATTCACCTTTCAGGAAGCACAATCAAATATCCAAGAACACTATTAGACTTGCCTAGCATAAAGTTTCAAACGGCTAATGGGTTTTAAATTGATGTCATAATGCTGCAATTTAAACACATGATGTTCATTAATTTTGCCAGAACTCTTTGTAGAGTAGGAGGGGTACAAAAGAAGGAGGAAGGTTATATTTTCTTTACCTGCTTCCTTTTATCTGCTTTTTATACACAAGAAGAATCATTACATCAGCTGGGGGTGTGGGGTGGGGGGAATTTAATCAAATGACAAGAGACTTCAGTTAGGTAACCACTGTGGACTTGTATCAAAGCAATATTTTCTACAAAAAAATACCAGGAATAGGATAAAAGTCATTAAGACATGACAGGCATGATGTTTCTTAAAGATGGATTTAATGGGACCTATCACCAAAAATCCATAGGTACAAAGTGGAGGAAATAAGGGACAGAAATGTCATCTTGCCCATACACCTCCTTTTCACTGAAAGATCAAAATTCATGGATTTGAGAGAGAGAACAATATTGCAAAACAGGCAGGCATAATCTCGCAAATCTCAGGGAGTCCACTCAGAGGTGGACATTGAAAAGGAAAAAGAGATCACATTGTGGAGGAATACTAAGGGATTCTCTTCGAGGGGAAGGAGGGTGGGCACTAGATACAAATTTTCCAGGTGAAGAATCATCTATTTCAGAAATAACTCAAAATTCAAACTGAAATTTGTCTAGACATAATGGGCCAGTATAGTACAACACTCACATTTATTTATATTTTAAATATAGTATGTTTACTGTACATAAAGTCAGTTTTTCCAAAGCTGTTGCTATAGCTACAAATCAAGGAAACCATAGCAACAACCCTGTATTATGTACAGCCTTAATTAGGGATTAAGTTATGTCTCTTTGCATTTTATATTAAATATTCCCATACAATCTAGTTACAGTAATCTTAATTTTTTTTTAGTTTTTATATAATAAAAATTCTATAGTATTACACTGTCAAGTCAAATATGCAACACCCTTGAAATTAATCTTTACTGCGTTATTTTGATTATACCTAATAATATACACACCAGTGTTTTTATTCAGGACAAACATAGATGTTCATATTTCCTGATCTTTAATACAAATCATTGATCACTTCAGCCTTAACCACCACGTAATTGATTTTCCGTCATCTCATAAGGTTTTCGAGTCTCATCCCATTCAGCCTTACCCCTAAAGAAATCAGCTCCTCCTAAATTCAACCTTTTTTTCCTTCATTTTTCTTCAGAAAATAAGTACACGAGGGAGGGACAGGAAACGTAGAGTAGTTCATCTAGATTTTCTAGCTTCCCTGTCACATTAGATGACTGACTGGGTTGGTGGTAAATTACTCTGATTACTCTGTTTTGTTGACCTTGTATATGTGCTATTTAAGTACACTGAGAAGTTGGTATTGGAGCACCCTGCCATGCTGCATGTAGCCAGGCCTCAGAGTGGAGCCTGAAATGAACAGGTAGAGGAGAACAGAGAACAAAGGTGAAGAAAGAAAGGAGAAGGATGTTGGAAGTGGCTGAGGAACAGGATGGAGTGCTATTGGACAGCAGGAGACACGTAGGACCCAGTGGGGTGATAGGCTTCAAAGGACACCCTAGAAGACTATGAACACATTCAGCAGGTGTGCATAGATTCTCTCAACAAAAGAGAAAAGAGAAAGCCAAATTTCATGTCTTTAAAAGCCTCCTCCCCTATCTCTCCTCCCATCAGATAGTCTTCTAATAATTCATTATGGTATAGTTCTCTCACCTTTTGGTCCTTGCCCATTGATGAGATGGCACATATCCCATTTTGCAAAAACCTTGGCCACATTTTTTTAGGGCATTAGCTGCACTCACAGGCTTGACCTTCTGCTTATCTTACACACCATAGCAGCATAAAAAAAAAAATCTTAATTATACAAAATGAGCAGAAATTCAATGCATTTGGTGCTTACAGAAATGAGAGATCTGTGCTTTTATTCTCTATGAACAATCAAGAATTGCTGGCCGTTTTAATACAAATGCATATTTTATAAAGTAATATGTGTTATAAAAATTGTAATCCAAGAAAGCTATGAGTGTGAGTTAGGAACATGAGCTGTGTAAAAGCTTTTCACATGGGCAGCACAATAAAACTTCCCTCACATGGGGAATAATTAAGTCAGAAGATAGTACATTCACAATTTGCAAGACATGTTCAGTGTCTTCATTATCATTTTAATTAGCAAATATTAATGTAATCTGCAAATACAAGGGGGAAAACAATTAAAATTACTAAGTTTAAGGAGTCCTTCATGACCTAAGCTAAATTGAGACAAATGTCTTACTAATCGATACTGGTCACCAACTTTCAGGACATTCATTTCCATTTACTGTTAGAACTTCCAAGCGTGTTATGAAATTTAAGAATGAATTAAGGCTCCCACAAGCTACATCTAACCTCTGATGAAGGCAATGGTGAATAAAAATGGATTAGCATGCTCCTCTCCTCTCCAGTTATCAGTTCAGACTGATAGTGATCAAGTGACTGTGGCAGCTCTACCTCATTCAGATTCCATGCCTGCTGCTGTGGCAATAACCCAGGGACACACAGAACACGCTGCCCTCTCATTTTTGGTGGATTCCTGGACCTTCGGTATTTAAGATATGCTGGATGGAGCTGTAGACCTTTTGAACTCAACAGCGGCTCCCATTCATTTCACTGGGACTAGGATTCACACCCTGACTCAAACAGATTTCCTTTTGGGTGCTTGTCCTTTTTCTGTTCTGCAGAGAATGTGCTATGGCCTCCCTTATACTCAGTGCTGCATCTTACATGGACATCAATTAAAAGATACAGAAGTTTAAAAGAAGCTGTCGCCTAAAAACTATAACCCTTTCTCGTTCTGATTTTTATATTTAAGACTCTAAAGGTAAAATAATAATTAACTTGTCCAATACACTTATAGGATTGAATATCATCGAGTTGTAAAATATTTTCATTGTCTATAAAAGCTATTATTTGAATGAATTTAATTCTTGAAAATAATAATTGCAATTTTATAAAGAAGAATAAATAGCAGCAAGTGGAAGCCTGATAGTATTTCTCATGACTGACAGTGCTATAACTGATCAGAAACAACTTTTACAGAGAGTCAATTTTTTTGTTAGCTTATTTTGCAAGTTTGCATCTATTATAGATAGTACAGAGAGAGAGGGGAATACTCTGGGGAAAAAGCACCACTACCACTAAGACCCAACAATGCCATTAGATATTTTGTCAACTAAGACATTTTTAAAGCAGGATTCCCTGTAAAATATAATTTTATCACACAAGTATTTTTATCACACAGCAAATATTTTGCAAAGCAGATACAGGCCAAAGCATTTTAAAATACAGACTGGAAATACATACCTGGCTTTTACATAGCTACCAAGTGTTAATGCAATAGCTTCAGAAAAATCAAGTAAACCTCTAGCTCTGTAACTGTTCTACACTCACAAATGTTCATTTCACAAATCTTTTCCTTTTCTTTTTCCATGCACATACAAACACAAATAAACTACTTCTTCCTCAGGCATCCCAGGCAAAATTAAACATTTGGGGGACTTTATTACTAACACACACAAGAAAATTTCCTTTTGAGTTAAAGAGAGTGAAGGCTTGAAATTAATCTGAAAATTATTCTTGCTTGTATAAGTAACAGTTTTTACTGCAATCAAGCATGATTTTGAGGCCAGCTCACTGCTCTCTCCACTGCAGACATGACAGAAATTAAAAAATACAGCGGTCATTTAAACAGTAGCACACTTTTAAAAGAGACTTTGCTCAGAAACATTGCTTGCTTTAGCTTTTATACTGGGCAGGTTGGAGGAAAAGCAGTTATGTGAGATCAGAGACAGAGAAGTCAACTGGTCCATTTTGCTGTGCTCTTGATATGAGGTCTTACCTCTTGTGTTTTCACATTTATATATCCATAATGAGTTCTCAGAGGCTGCCTTTGGCCATTAGAAAATGGTATCCATTTGACACTGGTTTGTCCGAAGCAGTTTAGGATCAAAGGGAAAGTTACTTCATTTGTGAGACGAACGATGATCAGACAGAGGAATGCTGCAATGAAACTCACAGCAACAATGGACTTTCTCTGTAATGAAAACAAGAAAGAAATTCAATTATTAAAATTAAGAATTGGTTTTAATAAAAAATATGTATCTTCTATTGTAGGATGAAGGGAAAACACTTTAGAACACTTTACATGGAATTATTTTTATGGTAGTTACCTTGCTGCAGGAACACAAGGAGACAGGAGACAAAATGAAACATCATTTTGTTTCAATAAATTTGCATTTCAGAGGTTTTGAAAATTTCTTTTAAAGTGGGTTGGAAATGAATCAGTTTTGCTCCAAAAAAGCCCCCAACCCACCTTTTTTTTAAGCTTCAAAAAAAATCTATCCGTTTTAAAATGTATTTATATTTGGAATAAAGATTTTTAGGTAAACAACCACACCAGAGTCTCCATTCAAAACCATCAGTGCTCTAAATAAATGAAAAATACATAAAGTGAAAATGCCATTTACAGCCATACCGCGCAAAATTTATGGTGAAGATGATCACGACAGATTGTGTTTATTGTGCATTAATTTTAAATCATTCCCATGCAACAGAACTCATACTCTAACCTTAAAGATTTTAGAATAAATCATTGGTGAAGTCAGCACAACATTCTGCCTTCTTCCCGGTTCAGGAATTTACAAAGCGAGGCATTATTATCTCGGACAAAATGACGTCCATTGTTAATAATGTAACAGTTCTGAAGCCTGTATCTAATTAGCCTTTGCTTTCCACCTCTAAACTACCCAGTTGGTTGGACTGGTTAATGTAAGCATGGAATGATATCAACTTTTTCCCTGGGTAACCCCCTAGTCTGCAAAAGCAAAACTTGTAAGTAATACAATGTTCTCCTTAGTTGTGGCTATTTTTTAAATACTGCAGTCAATTACTTCTAGACAAATTACTTAAGATCAAAATATCTTAGCTGGCATATGTAAAGATTCTAGGTATGATACCCTATTGTAAAGGCTATTTTTAAATTTTCCCTGACGGAATGGAACAATGATCATTTACAGGTGTTTTTACCATACTTTAATTACATTCTATCTTTACCTAATTTGCCACAGTTTAATCACCCTACTGAATGTAATTTCATCCCTCTAAACAGCAATATATACAGAAAACAGAGGAGGAAAAAATTATTTGCCTAAGGGCCTGCATAAGGATATAATAACACCTAATGCTGGATGGCAGAATCTGATCACCCAATTGCTGTCTACAAATACCACCAACTAACAGGAACCAGGAAAGCACACATTTAAGGCAGCTTTTGTACATGATGGCAATAAGATCGCACATGCAGCAAGGGCAATGGAGGGGTGAAAGGTGAGCTCTGATTGCAAGAATATAAGATAAATATCTTATTTGCCTGAAGGTTCATTTGACAGTCTGCAGAAACTAAAATTCAAAACTCCTATCTGTTTTGTTGTATTCGGAGGCTGTGATTTATAAGATAAAAGCAACAAAAGACCAAGATGGAAAACTTGGGTGAACGAAGCCACTGTGAGGGAAAGGGAAGAGGATGATGAAGCAGCATTGTGGCGGTATGATTCAGTGACGAATCTTAGCTAATGGCTGTGCAATGTAAAATTAAACCCAGCAAATCTTCAGAGGGCAGCGCAGCAGCCGCAACCCAATCACAGCATTCAGAATTCATGGAAGCCACTGCACTCTTCATCAACTGCATTATAGCAGATTTACATTAAATTGCAATAAACTGGCTGGGGAGCACTTCTGTGTCACTTCTCTTTGTACCAGATGGAATCAGAAATGTTTAGCTATATATCAGGGCCTTGAAAGTGTTAAGAGCAGCCAAGATGTGCACTGCAAGTGATAATCATAAAGCAGTAAGAAGGAGCATGGATTAATCATATAATTTATTGCAAATCTGAATAAAAATATTGCAAATATTTAAAGGGGAATCTATAGTCTTATTCCACTACATGGGCATGGTTCAATCAAAACGTCCACAGCAGGAAGCAGCAATACTTCCCTGTATGATACCACTACCTGATTTCCACGTATTCTATCTTCCTGGTTTGTTGAATACCACTTTTTACTACTTTTATTTGGTGCAGACATGTTCTGAACTTGAAAATGTTGCAATCAACTTTCTGTGCTTGTCACAGGGAGCTGTTCTAAAGAGTCTCTGCCCCTAGAAGAATTGAGACTGCATAGCTAGATTTCTTGGTCTTCATTAGGATGTCATCCAATTTTTATACTCCTTCTCTTTGAATACATTGTACTACAGGAAAGAATGTGCAAGGACAGATAGGAATTTTTACAACAGAAAGAAATCAAGGCATATGTTATAATTGTTTTGGAAAAGAAAATCTAGCAATATGCAAACACAATGCCTACTCATCAACTTGTACAAAGGAAGCTTGTGTTAAGGATTCAGTTCCCCTGTAGTTTTTGTTCAAGGCATGGGATTCCACAATATGCATTCTCAGGGGAAAAGACTGTTGCAAATTGGAATTTTGGTGGCTCTATAAATTTCACTGTAAAAATATTAAAAAAAAAGAAAGCATCTACTTATCATAATTTTAGCCTTCTTAAGCATCAAGTAAGACAGTCTGCTCAGTGGCCAAGAGTATTCTAAAGAGCAGCTCTAAAAATAATTTGTTCCCCTTAAGTTCCTTGCTCCTTTACCTGCTCAAAAAAACCAAACCAAAACAAAACATAAAAACAACCAAAAAACCACCAGGCTTTATTTGTCAGTAGGTGCTTCTTGCAAAATCTCCCTTTCTGCAGATAAATGGTTTTTGTTATGTTTCTTCTGATGGAACTTAAAATTTAGCATTGGAGACTCCAGGAATTCTACGTGACACTAGGATATGACAGAGGATATACAGGGGTGAATACCAGACTCTAATTTGTCTCAAAATTTGTCTGCATCAACATTTTAAGTACTTATACATCCTACCATTTGGGAGAGCTAAACTAACATTAATTAGCAAGTCTGCACAGAAACAAATCTTATTCCTTCTTAATTTTCAGTTCTCATGAATGCAAATAGTCTCTTAACCAAAGAAATGTTTCTCTAACACGGATACATCCCCCGTATAAATCTCAAAGAATCTTTTTATTGTTCTAGCTAATCTAGTGTAGATATTCTGATGTTGCTGACATTTAAATAAAAAAGGCATCTTCAGTTATAAACATTTTTATACATAGCCAGTAAGGAGTAAACAATAAGACATATTTTAAACAGCTTCTTAGATGAACTACTTGCATGGTGTATTAGCTTTTGTAACATTTTTATTTCACTCACTATAATACACGACTAGTCTAGATGACAGTTGCAAGAAGAAAATTACCATACTTATGAATACAGGATCCTATAACAGAAGAGTGATGGAGATTAATATTTGTTAATGACACTAAGCCTAAGCAGACACTCATTCAGGGTTAAAAAAAAAAAAAAAAAAAAAAAAAAAAAAAAAAAAAAAGCCTGTCTGGGGGAGCCAAGGAGCTGATTTAATTCAATCTTCTGTAGAATCAGCCCAGACCTGCATTGCAGGAGAGGGCCCTGAAATATTTACCTTAGAAAACAATTGCTGAGCTTGGCCATACATGTGATATTAATGTAAAATAGTCTTAAGTAAATAGTCTTGTCAGGACATAAGAGGCCAAAGGAACTAGAGCAGAAAAAGATGATCGTAGATTCATACACAAAACCAAACAAAACACCATAAAAGGTAAAAAAAAAAAAAAAAAAAAAGAAAAAGAAAAAAAGAAAACAGATAAAAGTGGACACGCTCCAGATCAGGGTATATGAAGTACAATATCTGGGACCCTGCTGGGCGGAAAACACACGCTACAACTAAACAGTTTCTTCTCAACTCTTTTTACTCAATCCCCACAATAACATAATCCCAGTTTCAGTTATTCCTCAGACACCAGGCTCATTCTGTCTAGTGTGTATATCAAAATCAATAAGCAGTAGGCATGATTCACACTTCTAAGGCTTAAATTTATATTTATGTTGTTAAAATAAGAATCAAAATAAAATCAAGAGTGTCATACTACTATGCTGGTTAGGATTTCATGAAAAACTTCATGGAAATAAAACAATAACAACAGTACTTTTATGGGGGGGGTGTATGTGTGTGTATATATATCTATTTGGCAATGTGTTCCCTAACACTATTTATAACCTTCATATATTCTGGTTTTGGCTATTTACCAGTGCCAGGGTGATTCATTAGCTTCAGTTTGGCAACAACTTGACAGTCTGAACAAGTTTTAGTCATTTTTCTTTCATAATCCTTTACAAAGTCTGGAGATGACAAGACCATTTTTTATAGTTCAGTAATGCCTGACAGAATAATAAGACACAAACATTTTTTGGTGTTGTATACAGTTGCCTACCAGGGAGGAAGAAAGGAAATATTTTCAGCATAAGAAAGGAATTTCATAAGTTGTAAATTCTACTGAGGTATGTAGTAAGTATCTTTATTCTACCTTCTAGCCCAAGAGCAACACCCAGCCACTTAGAATGTATTATATGACAGAGACTATCAAACCACTTTACAAACAATAGTAAATTACCATCCTAGTGAGAATAACAGTAAAAACCCATTTCACAGATGCATAAACTGAGGCTGAAAGCAACTTCCCTAAGATCACAAAGAAATCAACAAAAGCTACTCCTACACTTTTATTCTAGAACTATGCTTTTTCTCAAGTTTATTGTTTCTATATAACAAACTGCCTGAATTTGTTAAGTGCCAAAGTTGAATATGATATTATGGAAGACTCTAGTAAAGATTCCTTGCAACCAGTAAAGCTCCGTGCCCCAAACAGTAATTGCAAATAAACCTTTTTTCAGAAATTGACTTTTTACAGTATTCATTTTTTCTGTTATTTTCATGGCGACATAATAACACTGCGCTTGGAAGGACAAATCAATGGTAAAGTCTTACATGAGGGCTGTGAGCCTCTTAGATGACACAACGTGCAGTAATATTGTATTAGTTTCACCATATCTACCTTTACGAGCATGCTGAATAACTCAATCACTTTTTTAAT